AAGATCAAACCATATTCAGAATATGCTGTACGACCATAAAAGTGTCGGATAAAAGTGTCTGAATTATTGACTATAATATATTTGGGCATAACATAATCAATTAATAACGTCATTCGCATTATTAGTACAATAGAAAATTGTTGTATTTATTGATTTAAATATCACTGCAAGTCGAAATAAAATAATTTCAAAAGATGTTAACTAAAACACGATCTCGACTGAGTATAGAAAATAAATGTGAAATCTGTGAATATGCTAGGCGACATCCGAACGCGAAGCATAGCGATATGGCAAATTATTTTAATGAGAAGTTTAATCTTACGATTGACCGTTCGACTGTTAGCAAAATCTTATTAACAAAAAGAAAAATGGCTTACAAACAAACAGACTTCTAACATGTTTCGCCTGCGTTCCGTTAAATACCCAAAGTTAGATAAAGCTATTGAATTATGGGTAAGCCAGGCTATTGCCGCAGGGTTACCCTTATCAGACCAGATTCTTCAAGAAAAAGGATGCGATTTTGCTAGAAGCTTCAATATCGATGACTATTTATATTACATGCGATGTTCAAACGGCTGGGTTTACAAATTCAAGAAAAGATATGGCCTTCATAAAATAACTCTCCATGGGGAAGGTGGCATACTCTAGCATTGCCATAGCTTCAGAGGCCAAAGGTCTTGCAGCAGGGTTTGAGTCCATAAGCTTGCAGGAAATGGCATTAAGATATTCAAGTTTCATCTGTGCCTCCCAAGAAGAATATAAGTTCAGCAATTCGTGAATGACAGTCCCAGTTGACCATAAATCTGCACAGATTGGGTTGAAAGGCTTGTCATTGTCAACCTCTGGTGCTGCATACCCCTCAGTTCCTCGATATCCTGCAAGCATAGTCTCCTTGGATTTCAGCTGCTGGGGTAATCCATAGTCAATAATAAGCAACTTGTTGCTCTGATGGTCAATAACAAGATTGCTAAACTTGATGTCCAAATGAGCAATATTGTGCTCATGCAAAAACCCAACACCCTCAAGGAGTTGCTTAACTAAAGAGATGCATTGCACTTCAGTCAGATCGACAAATCCTAACAATCCATTAGACTTGTATGCCAACATCAATAATGGTTGACAGTCATGCATGACCATGGCAGATACATCTTTGTTCAATGGTATTGTTACGGTCGGGTGGTCTGGGGTTTGGGAGAGCAATTAATCTTTCGCGTAGGAGTGTTCTTCCGACCGGGGGATGTTACCAGATTAGCTTCATGCTACCACCCTTAATACGGTAGTTGTTCAATTAAGACTGAATTCTAACCTACAAGTGACCTGTTTATATAATTAAATTAAATGCGCGCTTTTCAACTCCCTATCTGAGCTTCAAATCACTCGTGATTCCAAATAAGGGTACCCACAATAAAATAACAACAACAATTATTATATTGCGGAATC